ATTGTCATAGAAGTTGATAAATATGGAACTCCATGTACAAAAGAAGCTGCTGCTCTTGGTTCTTATCTTGGAATATTGATTAAAAAAGGAATTCATGCACCTTTGAGCATCCCACGATAGGATTGTAAGGAGTTTGGTGTCTTCAAGAACAACCTTCTAAAACTTGTGAAGGTAAATTCTCTTAAAACTTAGAATCTATATCATGAGTTCATATTCTAATTTGAATTAAGTTTGGGTCTCTTTTGCTTTATTGCTAGTTTCGTGTCCTAATATGGTATGAAATGTAAAGTTAGGACTAATTTCGTTAGTTCTAAAAAAAAAAGCACAAAATGGAAGCCATATTTGTGTATATGCTACTCGTCCTATTTGCATGGATCCCATAATTGTGATGAAGGCACCAACGTCCGGCCATACCTTCGTTTTGATTGCATTGACAAATTGGAAGAAGCACAAAAAACAAGCCCTGCTTTGTACTACTTAGTAATTTGCATTGATAGATTCCGGTGATTTAACTTCATTAAAGAGTGAATGTACTAGCTAGTAATTTGCATATCTTCAATCATAAAGTTTTAAGCATTTAAGTAATGATGAGATGCTGATATCATTATGCTCACTTATAATTTTTTTTATATGTTTTATAGGAAAAGTTTGACTTTCCCGATATTGCAAAGAAATGGATTTTGGCATCGTTAAATAAGAAGTGCAAGGATTTCAAAAGTGACTTGAAAGTCGAGTTTTTTTATCCTGGTAAAACGACGAAGAGATTATTGCATCCAAAGAATTGCCTCCCGATGTGTTAATAGATCAATGGTCTACTTTGGTCAATAGATGGTTTACTCCGAAAGCCGGGTTTCAAATTATTTCATATTGTAACTAGCTTTTTTTTTTTTTTTTTACCTATTTGTATGATTTACAATCAAATGTGTGTGTGTGTTTTTTTTTTTTTTTTATGTAGAAAGTAAGTGAGGTAAATACTGCAAATGCAAACAAAAATAAATGTGCCCATACATTAGGCGTAAGAAGTTGTGCAAGAAAAAGAAGAGAAATGGTAATTTTAATAATTTATAACTTTACATTTAAATACTGTTTATGTATGAAATTAGATTAAATATGTATAATTGTTTGTAGGAAGAAAGGGATGGAAAGGAACTCGATAGGTTGACATTGTATGAAGCTACTCATAAAAAGAAGGATGGCACATTTGTTAATGACAATATTCGGCTAAAAATAGTACTAAAATTTTATTGTAATTTATTTATTGTTAATGAATGATATTTCATTATTCACTTATTCTAAATATACTTGTCTTGACATTTATAGGAAAAGGCTCGTTCTCTTCAAGCTGAGCGTTATGAAGGTTCCTCAACCACCGAGTGTTACTGCTATAAATGAAGAGATTTTTCAAGAAGTTATGGGCAAAGAACACAATGGTAGAGTTAGAGTATTAGGCTTGGGTCCAACACCAACATTATTCTTTGATTTACAATCTCAACTTGGAAGTGGTCAAGGCGGTGCATTTACAAATCAATCAACTGAAGTAGAAGAAATGAAAGAGCAGATTGCATACAATGAAAACCAAATATGAAGCAATGGAATCCAGATATAATACAATAAATGAGACATTAACTATCATTATCGCTTTCATTGCAGAGAGATATCCGGATCATAATTTGATGCTCATTTCGTTAAATCCTACTCGGGTATCATATACTTTTAATTAAATATTTAACATGTTTCTTGATCTTGCAATATTTTTAATGAGTTTTTATTTGTATTTACATTATGTTTTTGTTGACTTTCAAATTGTGCTCGTTGATAGGTTCGCAATGATGGTAATGGTCAAAATGCTCCTTCTCCTAATCGTTCATCACAAGCAAGTCATCTCGTCGAAATGAAACATTTATATAAAAACATGTTTGTTTTTTTTGGAAAACATTAGCTACTAAATTTAAAATATATTTGGAATTTTGTTTATGTATTTCAAACAAATGTTTAATACTTTAGTTTTTATTTTTATTTGTAAATGTTTGACAACCTTTTATGTATTTGGAATTTGATAATTTTTCTTTAATTTGCATTCAACAAGATTAATGTTTCCGTAATTTATTTGTTTTTTTGACCAATAAAAATAATTAAATTTGAATATGAATTTCAAATTTTTTTTCATGAATTCTGAATTTTGAGGCGGTTAAATATTGTAGAAAAACGTATATTTTACAACTTGTAATCGCCCCTAATAAATCCGGCGCCAAATTTTAAAAAAAAAAACCGGAAACCTAGAGGCGGTTCAAAACCGCCTCTACAATTACGCCCCAAAAATTCCTAAGGATGAGCTTTTCCTACTAGAGGCGGTTCGAACCGCCTCAAAAGATAATTATTAGAGGCGGTTTGAACCGCCTCACAAAACCACCTCGGACTTCTCCGGTGGTTGGAAAAGCTGCCTCTACTCGGTAGAGACGGCGGCATTGCGGGCGGTTTACCAACCGCCTCTAGGAATCGTAGGCGGTGATAACCGCCTCTACGGTGTCAAAAAACCGGCAGGAATTCCTATTTTTGTTGTAGTGTGGAATTAATTAGTGTTTTGATATTAAATACTTTTTAATAGTCCTAAAAAAAAATTAGGTAACAATGCACTGATAGTTTAGGAGTTATATAAATAACATGATCAAACTTTGAAAAAAACTTGCCTTTCATCTTGAAAAGTTTTTATTTTCCTCCGTGTTATTCTCTCACATTTTATTTTGTTTGAAAAAGAAACATTTGATAATTATAATCTTTTAGTTGTTTATTAATTTCATGGAATCTTCTCATCTAAAACCTACGTTTGCACTATTCAATCAAACTTCAGGAGTAAAAACTAGGTTTCCATGCTATTATATAGTTAATTAATTTATGTGATATTAGAATTGATTCGTAAATTTTGACTATCAAGACACTAGAGTCGGAAGGAATCCATGCATTTATGTTTTGAGGAACTTGCTAATATTATGCATGAATTTACATCCAAACTTTTGTCCTACTTCGTCTGTTTTCGCGGGTTATGTAAATATTACACCACATATGCAATTACATTTAGACTTACGCTAATTTGTTATGGACCACTTGAATTATTGGTTAATATGATAAAAGTTCTTAATATATATATATATTTTTTTCTGATTCCAGTCTTTTTTTATTTGGATTCTCAATTGTTTTTTTATCTCGCAATTAATTTTTTTTATTATCTTGTCAATTAATCTTAAACCACTTTAGATACACGTGAGAGATACGTTAAATTAAAAAACAACGATACGGTGTCTTATTTTAAAGACTTTTAAGACATATGTTATTGTTTTAATAATTTTATATATCTTTTGTGCTATTTGAAATTAGTCAATGAAATAAAAGAGTTTAATTGTGAATAAAAGGAGATTAAGAACCTAAAAACAAAAAATATTAATAACTTTATCTTTGTGACCAATAGTTCAATATACTTTATAATCAATTACCTTTATATTAATAATCGAAATAAGCATGTTTTATCTTTGGTTAGTTAGCAATTGAAGTACAAAATATAATGACTTCCAATTAATCTCATCCATAATGAGTCTTTGCATTCGTAAAAAAAGATTAAAAAGAAGAAGTAACATAAATTTATATGCAAGCAATTAAGTGATGGTTGTTTCGTTATTGCATCATGCAGGGTAAACAACCACTAATATGTTACGTCAGAAATATTTTCAAAAGGGGCGATTAATTAAATTAAAGACAATAATTTTGCGCACTGCAGCCTTTAATTTGTTTTCATTTTTCTTATTCGATATATATATATATATATATATATATATATATATATATATTCAAAATAATTTTATTTTATTGTCACTATACTTTTTTTTTCAAAAAATAAAAGAATATAATTTAAATCCTTTACTAACTTATATATATTATAAAATATTTCCTAATATATATTAAATTAAATAAAAAATCACAATTAGTGTCTATTAATTTTTTTTATACCTATATTTTTTAATTATTTAAAATATTAAAAAAATTAATGGTTATTTTTTATTTTAATCCATATTTTATTATTGTTTTTATTTTGTTCATTGAATTTTTATTATATTTGATTTTTGTCTCTAGAAGGGAATTTTTTTTTTTTTTTTTACTTTTAGTGAAATTTTTCATTATGTTTTGGTCCCTATTTTGTATTTTTTTCTTTATTTTTTTTTATTAAAGTTATATCATGTTTGATTTTTATTCTTTCTACACTAAAATTAAATATAATTTCACTATCCTAAACTTTTTTTGCCTTTTAGTAAAAAAAATTCTTTATGTTCTGGTTCATGTTTTGTGATTTGTTGTTTTTTTTTTAGTAATTAAAATTTTATCATGTTTGATTTTTGTTCCTACCTTAAGCATGATGAGTTTTTTTTAATCTTATTGTTCATAATCATTTTTGGGCTTTTACTGAAAGTTTTTTATTTTTATTTTGGTTTTTATTTTATGACTTCACTTTGTTTTGATCATTTAAATTTCATCCTGTGTAATTTTTATCTCCATCTTTTGCTAAATAGGTTTTAAAATATTTCAATGTAATCCTATTTTGAATTTATTTTTTATTTTTTTGTCTTTTTTTTTAGTGGTCTTTCTCTATCCCCATAACAAATTATAGATGAAGAAAAATTGATGAAAATTAATAATTCAAAATTCAAAAAATTATCACATATATATATATATATAATTGGTAACATTATATTTTAATAATACACAAAATATATACTTTGATCCTTCTATTTTTTTCTACGATGCTTTTAAATAATTATTTTTGAATTTGGTATTTTATACGTATGAACAAACAAGAATGCTGTGTAGTTCACTGTGCGGCAAATATGCGGCGGTATATGCTAGTATAAAGCTATACTATGCGCTGATTGTTTCATTCGACTACTCAAACAAGTCCTTCAAAAAAACAAGTCTCCATTCGTTTCAAGCAAAACCAGTGTCATCAACCTCTCAAAATGAGCCACAATGCACTCACCACATATCAGTATCAGAATCACCACCGCAAAAACCACCCACCAGAGAACCCTTTCAGGGAAATAGAAGCTTTAATAATCTCAGCTGAGAATCTCAAGAACGTTAAACACGTAACCAGAATGAAACTCTACGCTGTTGTCTACGTAGAAAAAGAACACGTTGCAAAAACCCACGTCGACCATCACGGTGCCACCAAACCCTCGTGGAACGAGACGGTGGTCGTGAAGTTCAGGAACCACCAGGCAGCTCTGAACGTGGACATATATGCTCGCGGTCACGCGAGGGAGAAGTCAGTAGGGAGTGCAAGAGTGTTGCTTTGTGACGTTTAATTTTGAAAGGTGGCCGGGAAACCTGACGAGCCAGTGGATAATCCGATCCAGTGCATGACAGTGCAGGTTTGAAGGCCTTCTGGAAAGCCCCATGGATTGCTCAACTTGTGGGTGCCTCCTACGGGGTCGGTTCTTGATAAGAAGGAAGTCTCTGACGTTTAATGTTAAGGATGAGGAGGTGGAAGGGGTGGAGACGGTGGTGGTTTTGTCAGCTGATTGATATTTAGTGTTCATGCATGTTAGACGTGTGTGTTTTTGGTGCCTAGCCTGCCCTTTTGGTGTCCTATCCTGTCAAACTTTTTATTGAAGATTGGCGCGTCTTTTGTCTCAAGTATATCTTTAACGACGTATTAATAACATTTAAACTAATTTGGCTTAGGAACACACAAATGACTCCGTGGCCCAATGGATAAGGCGCTGGTCTACGGAACCAGAGATTCTGGGTTCGATCCCCAGCGGAGTCGATTTTTTAAAATTATAATATCTTTCATTAAGCTTCACTCAGCTTGATTACCACTTACCAACTCTACGTCAATAAAAAAAAGTACCTTTTCTGTCAAACTTCGTTTATGAATTTCTGGAAACAGAGTAGGATAGGTTGAAGATCATCATGCTCTAAAATCAAATTGAAACCATTTTCTTGGATGAAAGATTTTGAGCTGCAGCAATTTTGAGATTCATAACTGTGTATTAGATTGAAGTGCCAAGATTGCTTTCATTCGATCGAAGGGTATTACGCAGGAAATGGTGTTTGCTATGTTAAAGTTCAATTTGGAATTGAAGATTTCATAATTTGGTTTAACTGTTAGTCACATTCCTAGTATTAAAAAGAAGTCCAGATTCAGCAAGAATCGCTCTGATTGTCCACACCCTCTCAATGACAGCAAAGCCCCAAAAATAAATCTACTACTGAAGCAGTTTGGACGAAATAAAAATATCAGCTGGTAATCATATCAAGATGTCCAAATCTGAATTTCTAACAATTCATATCATAAAAATGTGTTCCATGTACAACTAAAACATACGAATGCTATCTTTTGCAATTTACATACAGAGAGAAATGTGATGAAATCTCATTTGTTTCCTTTGTTCATGTCCAATTGATCAAATGCTTGAGCATGAGGGGTCTGATACTAACAACAACATAATTTGGTTATCATCATCCACCTTCTGCTAATCACGTCTGGTTTGCATTAGATGCAGCTTTTAGTTCCTCCAATTTTTTGCGGAGATATGCCTGTTTGAGTTTTTCATGTTTAGCTGCTGCCTGCTCTTGCCTATGCAACTTGACCTCTAAGACCTTTTTTCTGGCTTCGTTGGCTTCTTCATGAACTTCCCTGAGAAAAAACCATTATACAAAGTAGTCATGTTATGGGGTTCAGTTACACGATTCGTGTTGTGGTACAATAATCTAAATCAGGTAACAGAGTCAATAAAAAGCAAATCATATCAGGATAGGTCTTTTTTACTTTTTCATTCTTTTTTGATAAAGTAACATGTAGCTGAACCACTCGCATAAAAATAAGTTACTTTTCCTTCTAGTGTTGATCTAACTTCTGGTGCTGTTCATGGACTATTTAGTTTACAGAATGTTAGCAGAACTGCATTTTGCAGTATTTTCTCCAGATCTATTAGGATAATGTATCATAGAAGGGCTTTTTTTCTTTGCTCCCCTTTCTATCCTTGGAATGGAAAGCAGGTGACTGTAGACTTTTGGCATGCACTGAATTTGATTTACCAGAAAAAATGAATAAATGACATGTTAATAAAATTATCTTAAGCAAGTTCATCATGATTTTGAATGAATGAACATGGATTAGTTTGACAATACAATAACCAACCCAATCCAATCCCAGCCTGACCAACCAGATCCATGGGTGCATAAAAAAGAATACTAATGAGCACATAAAACACAATTCATTGATAAAATGGCAGATTCTTAATTACTAAAGGAAATTGGTGTGAAGATTAAGAGAGAGTGAGAGAGAGAGAGAGAGAGAGAGAGAGAGAGAGAGAAGCCTGTCTTGGCTTTCATCCAATAAACCTAATTTTTTTGGTTGAGGTTTTTTTATAATGTCTAAACCTCTTTGACTAAGAGGTCAAAAGGTTCAAATTCTAGATATCCCAGGTACTGAAGAATAGAAACAACAAGGTAGTGGCTAGGAAAAATAAAAATAAAAAATTCAAAATCAAGGTAGTGGTGCGCATGTGCTTTACCTATGTTTTAAGCTCACAAACTTTCATGTGATTTGCCATGCTAATGACACAAAAAGCCTATCTTTGACCATTTCCTAATAAACTTAGAGCCTTTAAGTGGAGTGATTCTCTGAGAATTGCACTGCAACGACCTTTAAACAATATTAGTGCTAATCTTCTTTTACCCTTTTGGTTATTGTTAATGGGGAGAGATTGTTTTCTGTAGCTAATAGAAAAGACATGATTTTCCAAATATAGGGATGTGCCGAAGTGATATATTATCACCTCTTATTTTCACTATTGCAGTAGATCTGTTTGGTTGGATCATCTAGAGGCTGCACAAAGCAACACAGATTTCACCAAAGTGCTAAAATTAGGACCATTGGTTGTCTCAGAGCAGAGAGGTTCTCAGTATTTGCTGCCTTTGTCTTATTTAGAATCTCTAGTATGCTGTACAAGACTGGCCTTCAATTATGTAGGGGTTCCATTTGGGGGTAATCTCTGATCTATAGCTTTTGTGGTCTAATGGTGGTTAGATAAGTATATTGAGACTGGTTTTTTTCCCCTTCAAAAAAGGGGGTTGCATAACACTTAAAGCACTAGCATTATGACTGGTCTTCAGCTAAGGTCCAACTTACAGTGCATAAATATATTAAGCGACAGGAAATTTCCTTTGGTTAGGATCAAGGTCAACAAAGAGGGGAACTGTAAGCTGAATATGAAAGAGGGTTTAGGTTTTCAACATTTAGTACAGAAAAATATTCCCTGGTTGGTGAATGGCAATGTATTTGCCTTCAAAAACCCAATTCCCTCCAGCACAAATTATTCCACATAAACTATAATCTGGTTAATAGTTCAGATGCCAAGGGCTAGAATCCGTGTCGCCTATTTCTGCCTTTTCAAAGGTACCCTTAGTTTTCCCTTGTTTAAGTTGCAAAGTAGGCAAAGGGTCTCCGTTTTCGGAAAGGGGAGGGGGTGGTGGTGTTGTTCCATTGAGCATTGTTTTCAGTATCACTCATATAGTTTGATAGTTTGATCCACCAATTCATCTTGTTTCCCTCATTTTTCTAGGAAATTTTCATCACCCAAATAGCTCAATCCACCAATTCCTCTTGTTTCCCTCTGGCTAATAGTATTTAGAAAGCCAAGGTACATGTCTAAGTTCTGTCTAAGTCATGGCATTCTTCTGGATACTACAGTCATTTCCACAGGTTTGCTACAAATGAGCAGGTTCCATAAGGCACAATAGTGCGTTGTATTTTCAGTGCAAGACACATTTCTGGCATTAGCCTGTGAGATACCTAAGTGTTACGGATTTTTGCTGTAGCTGGTGAGCAGTCGGAAGTTGTGAACCTTTTAGTAGGCTTTTGGAACAGAAGGAGATAGAAGAAACCTAAGGAGGAAAGCATTTTTTTGGAGTTGGTGAACAGATATTATTGTAGAATTTTTAAGAATCAATCACTATCTAAGAAGCTTCAGTGATGGTTCCTGAGCTTCTTTGTGCGGTCTGACCTCTCAGGGATTTCTATATTTCAGATTCAAAAGGAATGGAATACACATCTTTTCTGATTATGACTCGGATTTTGTCCCATATGGTGGATGCCTTATTTTCAGTGGTGTAATACTCTTCAAATGCTTTTCCAACAAAGATCCATTTTAACAAACGGCAAGCTAGCTCGACCTAATCCTGGACAAACTACTTACATTAGGTTAAAAAAGAAGGATTTCTAATTGTCATCAGCCATTGCAAGTTAAACTCAAAACCAGCCCCCTCATTTAATTCACCTAACCAGCCACCCACAAATTTCGTAACAAGAGCATTCAACATATAATATTTCATACATAAACACAGGAAGAGATTGCAAGCCTTACCTCACAAAACGATGATGTTGTGCTTTGTCCACAGCTCCAGCTGTTCGCCCCGGCCCAACAAATTTGGTATTGAATAATACAGGATGATCACTCTCACCACCAATTCTTCCTTCATCATAAACTGGTGCAGCAGAAGAAGTGTCATTGCCTCGAGGTCGAATCGACTCCTCTTGCTGGACACCCTTCCTAAAAAAATCAACACAATACTTCTCATTCTCTTCCTCATCAGACAACTCTCCCCTCATTAATTTCTCATACAACTCCGCCTTTTTCTCCAATGCTGCATAGCTTGCAGTCCCATCATTAACTGCTTTAAGCTCAAGCTTGTCCCTGAAATTCAATTCAAGAATTAATAAGAAGAAAAAAGAACAACCAAAGGAAACCCTAATAAAAAAGAAAAGAAAGGATTAAAGAGGAGTACTTGAGTTCACGGGATTCGACGCCAGAGTTTTTTTTGGAGAAGGTGTCGAGAGGAGTGACTATCTTCTTGGCGCGATGGTATTCGACATCAGAAGGGGCAATATCTTTGGATTTCTTGGCTTCTTCTTGGGATTTATAAAGCTGGGCTTTGAGTTCGACGATGGAAGAAGCACCCACTCCTTCAATTGCTCGATGTTTCTTCGGTAAAATTGATGATTCTGTCAGCCATCCTAATGATTCCACCATAACTCTTCTCTTCTTTCCCCCTTCTGCTTCTCCCATTCTTTTCTTCTCTTCTTTTTTTCTTCTCTTCTCTCCGTATATGCATTTGGTTATTTACTGGTTAAATCATCGCCCCAAAACGACGTAGTTTACATGCATTTGTTTTGACTCGGTGAAAGTGAAAAGACTTGTCAAACAGAGAGCAGGATGTAGGTTATGTGACGTCTGAGTGAAACGACACTCGGTCATCTAAAAGCAGACAATTTTTTATTTTTATTTATTTTTGTGTTCTAAGATTTATGGATATTTTGTTTTTGACGAAGTAAACCGACCGGCAACCTTAACCACAACTGTTTATATACACATATATATATATATATATATATATAGTTGGATATCTTTAAACTCATTTTATGTCAATTTTATTCATTTTTATGTCAATAAAAAAGTTAATTATTTATTAAGATAGATTAAGGCTAGATCACGTCTAGGCTTGAATTGATAAAGAATTGTGTTTTTATTTTCTTTTAAACCTAACAATGAAGGATAAATAATCTATCAACAGTTCATATTAAAAAAAATATAATAATAATAATAAGTTTTACAAAATCAGAATTATTTTTTTTAATTTTTATTTCATGGCAATTTTTGGTTTAGAGTGTTTCCATTACCAACGTTTGAACTTTCTCAAATACCATCATCAAGAGTTTAAGACATTATTTACTAAGATTACAAACAAAAAATGCCGAAATAACTTTATCAAATTTTTGGAATGACTATCTCAAGGTATAATTAAAATATTTTTTTGAAAGGATATGCGTCGTCCGTGGAAATATTTAATGCAATGAATTAATGTATGTTGCTCACTATATTACTCATATAACAAAGTCAGTTATTTTATTGTTTCTAATTTATACTATTTGAAAGATTTAAAATTTAACAAAATATATTACCCCTCTTATCTAAAATAGAAAAAGCCAAAGAATATAGCTTTTGGTGGGAGTACAAAGAAGACAAATAAAAAACTGTAAAAACAATGTATACGTGTTGCTCCTCATTTGACAAGAAACAATAACGTATATACAGATAAAGAATATGAGCCGTTGAAAAGAAAAATAATTGTAAGATATTAAAACAATTAAAATCTTAATGATACAATATAATAACCAACAACGGTTTTTGTTTTTTGTTTTTTTTCAAAACAGTATGCATGACATGCGTTTGAAACATATACTATTATATATTCATTTTTTTTCAAAAATTATATGCAGTATTTAAAAAATCATTTTACTACAAATCAAGAGTATAATTGTTTTGGAACTTTCAAATTTTTATATATAACCACATGAATGAAATAATCAATATGGTTTCAACAATTTATTTGTAACAACCACCTTAATAATTATATAATTTAAAATTTTCATTTTTTATAAAAAATACTCTAATAATCCTCCATTTATTTATTTTTAATAAAATATTAGCCACATAACTAATAAAGAAACAAATATAATGCATAATAAAGATATATAATAAAGATATAAATGACTTGAATCATTACTTAGTATTTCAACAATATTACTCTTAAATCAATTATGAATATTGTCTTAAATTAAATTTTTTTACGAGAGACAAATATTGTATCACATATAAAATATTTATGTATTCTGCAACGAGTTTCAAAATTAGTATATGATGACTATGCTTGATCTTGAGCTTCATGAACAATTTAGAGAATTTTCCTTATTTTCAAAGAAAGCCCCACTTTTATGTTTATAAAGGGGTATAAAGGGGTATAAAGGGGTATTTTATAAAAAGTGCTTCCATAACTCTAACATCCAATTAAAAAAAAACTATAGAACATATTAAAAGTTTTTTTTTTAAACAACCTTTATTTTTCCATAAGATACATATACTTGCATAAGAGGGATGCATAAAACTAAAAAGTACATGTCAATTAACTACTCTTATGATGCTACCCAAATCTCTTTGGCCAAAACCTTTGTAAAAAGATAAGTTATATTATCTTTTGTGTTGATATAATTAACATTTATGATACCATTGTTTATATGTGATCTCGCGAGTACTATGTTTTCTTCTAATAGATCCGAACTTTCTTTTATAATATTTATTACATGCAATTCTAATAGTAGTTATGCTATCACAATGAAATAAGACAAGTGGCATTGATTTTTTTTTTCCATAGGAATTTTATCTAAAATATCATGTAATCAACCCTCTTCATCGGTACTTAAGGCTAAGGCTAAAACTTTATCTAAAATATCATGTAATCAACTCTCTTCATCAGGCTAAAGCTATTAACTATGTCTTTATTATGGATTTAGCAATAATTGATTGCCTTTTTTATTTCTACCATAGTACTCCTCCATCTTATTGAAAATATAGTTAGTGGTAGATATTGAATCACTTGATAAGGTATTCCAAGTACACCAAGATACTTTTAATAAAATAAGTCATATTAAGTAGTTCCTTTCAAATAGTTCTTTAAAGGAATTACAACATCCCAATTTTGAGTATTGTGTTTGCTAGAAATATTAGTACTTCAATAATAATAAAAAAATATCGAGTCTTATACAATCTGTAGCATATCTAAACCTTTCAATTATACAAGCATAGTATTTAATTATTTTTTATTGAAAATAAATGCACATTAGTATTAAAATGAATCCCACAGTTTTGCAATTTAAAGGAGTTTTCCTCATATATGAATTTTTTTTTATTGAGACTATTTTTTTTCTTTTTTATTTGATTAAAATCTTATACTCTTTATTTAATTTTTATTGAGACTCTTCGTTATGATGCTCGCTTATTATTACTCCGATATGGCATCTTACTATTAGACTCGACTAATGAATAATTGATATGTGACATTATGAGTCTCATAACACGGTAGATGATCTTAATTAAAATTAATTGAAGAATAGAAGGTTTTAATTAAGTAAAAAAAGAATAGAAAGTCTTCAAACTTTCAACGCACTATCATATGCAAATGCATAATTAAAGTTAAGATTTAATATACGAGAGGCAATTAATGACAAATTTGGTCTAGAAAAAATAAAGAAGAATAGAGGGTTGTTCTTTGTCCCAACTAGTTTTGCATTCTTCGCGATAAATGAACCGAGTAATCAATCCTCTTGTCACTACATTATGTTACCGTTTTTTCTCTATGACCAACTTCATTATTTCTTAATTCATTCATTATCATTTCCTTTTACTTATTAAATGATATTTTGATTTTTATTGGTCTTAATATGATTCTTAGAATTTGTTGTTTCTTATCGCTTATACAACTCCTTTATTCATTTATTTATGATTAACTTATTTCATAAATACATTTGGTAGCGAATTTGTAAAGTAGTGTCCTATAACTAGCATAATTGTAAACTATTTCATAAAAAAAAACTTGTCATATTCCTTAGTGAATTTTGTCTTGAATATCAATGAAACACCATCATCATCATCGTCACGAGTATCGGATCAAAATCACTTCAAGTTACCTAGCAAAGTCGGCGTTGCTACCTTAAAGTTACGATATAATTTCTTTATCAAAAAAATTAATCATAAATGAATAAAGAAGATATATAAGCAATAAAAAGTAATAAGTTTCAAAAAATCACGTTAAGAGTAATAAAACCCAAAAAGAGCACCCGAGTAAGTCAAAAATAAACTAAAATAATGATGAGTGAATTAGGAAATAATAAAGTTGGTAATAGAGAAAAAAGATAACATGATATAGCAATGAGAGGATAATGGTATATATAATACCATCACTACCACCATTGAAGATAATGATAAAAAAAATTATTAGTATTATTATTTCATCACCATCGTCATTAATTTTATTATACAACTACCACCACTATTACTCTTCTTACATTACCACCTCTTATAATAATGGCATTAATCTTTTTTTAAAAAAAATATAACATTACTATCATTATATTGTTATTACTACCTCCTTCTCATCCTCCTATTCCACTACCACAACCACTACTACAATCACTTATATCATTTTTACTACCATCATAATTAATAAAATTATTTTTTAATAATTGTATTTATTCATATTAAAAACTAAAAATTAAAAAAATTTAAATTTCATTATAATTCTTTATTATTATTATTTTAAACATAATATGAATATATAAATGTCATTCTAGTATATATATATATACCTTGGAAAATAAATGAATGTGCGGATATGAAATTAAATAGATTGAAATAAAAAATTGAAAGCGAGGAAATAGAATTAGGCGGCAGAGCCAGTCACTAAAATGCAAGTTCAAAGGCGACAGAGCCGGCCATTAATATATATAGAACGGGAAATTAAAACGGACTCTAGGTACGTGGCATTGTTATACCAAAGGTTAAACCACCGGATAGGACGAGACGAGTCCCCAAAGGTTTTGTTATTGGTTTCCAGTCGATATACCTTAGACTCAAGATATAGAATAAAAGTAAGAAATTTTATTTATTGATGAAATAACTTACGAGTTTTGGGTAAGCAAGAGTACATAGAAATTTGTTTGATTTCCTTGTTGAAGTTTTGTTTTGAATATTTCTAAAGGATTACAAGAGAACACGATTCTGAGAGAAAAATGATGTTCTAAGTAATAGGTTAAAAAATACACTCGATTACAAATGAGAAATGAGCTTTCTTATATAGAAGAGAAAGTCGTTTTGAACGAGTATCCTCACGTGTGTGAACGAGTAAGACGCCGAAAGTATTTTTGTTTTTTTCTTGAACAATGTCTTCATGTGTGGATGAACGAGTAAGACTCCGAAAGTAATTTTGTTTCGTAACTTATAAGTGGTGTATAGGAGGGAATATTCTAAAGTAGTCATCTTCATTGTCGTCACCCGGGTTTATGGCGGGTTCGAATCCGATTCGATGCTTGGGAGTATTTTGACCTACTTTGCGATAATGGTAACATGATTGCAAAGTATTCTTCTTCGACTTTTGTTGATGCTAACTTGGTGATAGCAAAGGATCTTTGGGCCGGGAAGCTTGAAGTGGCCAAGTTTGGCTTGAGTAGGCCTCG